TCTGTGATTCTGAAGAACTTCACCATCAGCGATGCTGGAACATATGAGTGTGTGATTGGTGATAGAAACTCTGTTATTGATAGTTGTTGGTGTCCTCTGGAAATATTAAAGAGTTCAGTCCAAAAAGAGACGCATCATTTCATCCTTTAATTTTTTCCCCCACAGGATTTATAAAATATGTTACAACCCCAATTCCAATGAAGTTGGGACGTTGTGTAAAACGTAAATAAAAACAGAATACAATGATTTGCAAATCCTTTTCAACCTATATTCAATTGAATACACTACAAAGACAAGTTCAAACTGATAAACTTTATTGTTTTGCAAATATTCACTCACTTTGAATTTGATGCCTGCAACACTTTCCAAAAAAGCTGCGACAGGGGCGTGTTTACCACTGTGTTCCATCACCTTTCCTTTTAACAACACTCAATAAGCGTTTGGGAACTGAGGACACTAATTGTTGAAGCTTTGTAGGTGGAATTCTTTCCCATTCTTGCTTAATGTACAACTTCAGTTGCTCAACAGTCCGGGGTCTCCGTTGTCGTATTTTGCACTTCATAATGCGCCACACATTTTCAATGGGAGACAGGTCTGGACTGCAGGCAGGCCAGTCTAGTACCCGCACTCTTTTACTACGAAGCCACGCTGTTGTAACACATGCAGAATGTGGCTTGGCATTGTCTTGCTGAAATAAGCAGGGACGTCCCTGGAAAAGACGTTGCTTGGATGGCAGGCCAAAGCACACTTCTCCACTTTGCGTCAGTCCATCTCAGATGAGCTCGGGCCCAGAGAAGCCGGCGGGGTTTCTGGGTGTTGTTGATATATGGCTTTCGCTTTGCATGGTAGAGTTTGAACTTGCACTTGTAGATGTAGCGACGGACTGTGTTAACTGACAATGGTTTTCTGAAGTGTTCCTGAGCCCATGTGGTAATATCCTTTACACATTGAAGTCGGTTCTTTAATGCACTGAGGGATCGAAGGTCACGGGCATTCAGTGTTGGTTTTCAGCCTTGACGCTTACGTGCAGAGAATTCTCCAGATTCTCTGAATCTTTTGACCGTAGATGATGAAACCCCAAAATTCCTTGCAGTTGTACGTTGAGAAAGGTTGTTCTTAAACTGTTGGGCTATCTGCTCACGCAGTTGTTCACAAAGTGGTGAACCTCGCCCCATCCTTGCTTGTGAACAACTGAGCCTTTCGGGGATGCTCCTTTTATACCCAATCATGACACTCACCTGTTTCCAATTAACCTGTTCACCTGTGGAATGTTCCAAACAGGTGTTTTTTGAGTATTCCTCAACTTTCCCAGTCTTTTGTTGCCCCTGTCCCAGCTTTTTTGGAACGTGTTGCAGTCATCAAATTCAAAGTGAGTAGTATTTGCAAAAAAACAATAAAGTTTATCAGTTTGAACATTAAATATCTTGTCTTTGTAGTGTATTCAATTGAATATAGGTTGAAAAGGATTTGCAAATCATTGTATTCTGTTTTTATTTACGTTTTACACAACGTCCCAACTTCATTGGAAATGGGGTTGTAAAAAAAAAAATCAAACTTTATCTATATGGACCCTTTCAAACTCAAAGTCTTTTGTGTGAATCTTTCCAAGGAACCACAATGCATGTCCTCAAGGACAATGTAACCTCAATGTAACCTCTCTGTGTCAGCTGACAAACAGTGAACTAGGCAGAGTCACTTAATAGAACAGCTGAGTTAGCTGCACTGGTATCCGGCTAACAAGCACTCAAGGAAATGAATTGATCATTTTACAACACAAGGCTGTATAATGAAGTGAATGTTTGTATGTGATTCATGCTGCAACAATAAAAAAAGGTAATCAAATTCATTAAATAACAGAAAAGATATATAAAATAAAAGTTGCCTTAAACAATATGTACAGTTATTTACTGTGTCTGGTTGGATGTAAACAGCAGCAACAACACAGTGATGATAATCTGGTTTCATCTTCACATAAAAACAAACAGTGTCCATACAGTTGGACTGTCACTGGAAGAGTCCGCCTCTTCTCGTCCTGCACTGTCGGCTCTGAACGCGGTCCATCCATCCAGGATCCGGGATGTTTGTGGAGCTGGTCTCTGTCAAGATGTGAACACAACAGTCTCTTGAACAGTTTGACCAGCCTGAGTCCCATCTTATCCAGACTGGACATTAGCCAGGAGCAGCCTCAAGTCGCTAACTGGTAACTAGAGGCAGCTACAGCTATATCTCCATCAGGAAACTCCATAAATCAGTGAATAAAGTTATGAAGTTGTTTTATGATAAACAGTGAGGCCCTGGCCCTGTCTTATTTTTGGTCTGATAAAGGGAGCTCCATATGAAGTACTGAAGTTAGTGACTGAGTAACAGTGAGTTGAGAGTCACAGTCAGTTTAATTCAGGTTACACTGCGCACCAGAAATCCCAAGTCTCTGTTACAGTGAAATGATGCAATGATTCACTGCTTGAAGACAACATGATGATTCTTGCATCAGGACTTCCCCTGGCTGTCTGCCAAGTTACACCAGACTTATCAGTAATTGCTCTGCAGTGATTCACCTGAAACAAAACTGTAACAGATTTGAGATTTGGGACTTTCACTGGATATAATTCTGCAGTCTGAAGCAATTTTAAAGAGTCCAACTAGAAAGCAGGAAGTGATGTAATAACAAAGAGGAAGCAGCAACCCCGAGCCCTCCACCCATTTTCTCTGTATATGTACAGAAGTAATTGTTTTATTTGATTTAATCCTAACGTTCTGTGTATGTGCAGCATGAAGGAACCACAACTGTTTGTACAAATTTGTGTTATATAATGACATAATGCATAAATTCAATTCATTTCAGTTTTGACCGAAAGTTATCTCACAGTCACACAGAGACCCAACAGTTGTACCTTGAAACGTGATGTTGCAACAGGACTGGTGATGTTATCTGTGTATGGGTGACATTTGCTCTCCATTGAACGGCTGGTTCAGAGACGTTTGGTTTTGGTATTGTGGCGGTTTGTGCAGGCTCACGTGTTAAACAGGTTTGAAGAAGTTTAGTTTTGAGATCACTGTTGGAGATTTCAAAATGCTGACATGACAACGGCTCTTACGTGTCTTTTCAAGTTACCATAAGTAGATTTCCTTTTTTGTTCTCAGCGGTGACTGTAGTGTGGTACATTAAGAGCAGTTAATAGTTGGAGGTTTAATTCCCAAAACATAAATTGTCAAGATTGGTGAGATATGGCTCAGTGTAAATTTTGGTCATTCAATTTTCTTTTCAGAAATGGGAATTAAAACACAAAAAATGATTTAAAGTGTTTGACTTTAACTTCCTATTGAGTATAACAAACATATATTGTGAGACCGGATGTGGTCAAATGTAGGATTGCCAGTGAGCCGGTGTTGAAGGCGTAAATATATTTGGAACCACTGTGGTAAATTTAGACAAAGCAATTTCCCTTTAATTTTCTTAAGGGAAACAGTTTTATCATTCAACAAGACTTCAGTGAATCATGATATGTGATATAATGTGAGAGGTTGTTGCTGTACGGTGTGTATTTTGTCCTTTCTTGGCTCTCCAAATAAACACCTGTCTAACTCCAGAGTTGGGCACATTGCCAATTTAGTCTCTTATGACCTCATCCAGTGTCAGAATATGGTTTCTGTTTTCTAGTGATTTTAGTTTTTATATCATGAAATAGAAAATGAAAGGAAAACAATTTTTTTAATTCCCCTTTTTACCGTGAAAAAGAAAAATGCCATGTATATGAATTAAAAATATTTGCATTTTAAAATTAAAGTCAAATAACCACCAAAATACCTGTTTCTGAAAAGAAAAAGAAATGTACAAAAATGTTTTTAATTAACTAATTAATCAAAAGTATCCATTTTGGATATTTAAAATCAATTTTGAATAAATATAACAATCTGCTAAAGCGCACATTTATGGTAAGAGTTATTTAAAAGATGAAAACAGAGTGACCATGCTCATGAAGCTGTAGGAAAAATTGCTTAAAGGATACCAAAATATGTAACGACAATTAATGAACCTCACACAGGGCACCAAAAGGTGTTGGTGCAACTGGATTATTATCAATTTTGGGCTATCAGAGATAATCAATATTAATATTAAATGATGAATGAGAATTTAACTTAAAGAAGGGAAACTCATCAAATATGGACGCTTGGTCAGTCGCCCTTTAAAATATCTGTATGCGCAGTGTTGGTAAGGATAAATATGTCAAACAAAGCCACAGTAGTTAACCCTAAGAAATCGTCACAGTTAAGTACTAAAACTATTTGATCAGGTTCAGGACAAGATGATGAGTTATGTACTTGACATCATTTTAGTACGTTATATAAGTTCACTTGCATCAAAAAAGTGAAATTGTGAGTGAATAATTAAAGTCTTCCATCCACCCGACCTCCTCCGTGTGCTCAATTTTCATAAATTGTCCCAAATATTTAGGACAAAGTGCCACATTTTGATTTGCTCTAGTTTTCAAAAATCAGATCACAGCACGACAGATGCTTTTCTAAAATGTTTTTTATGTATAAAGCAGAAATCCATACTTGGCACACGTGGGTCAATTGTCAACAGGGAAAATTGCGAGTTACCACAAAGTGACAAGCTATGCAGATTGATGCGTAATGTGATGGAAAGTACCACAAAGAAAAGAAATGCAGATAAAAGAAAGACTGCATGAAGATGTTGGAAGACCATAATAAGAACTGGAAAACTTTAGCTTCCTTTTCTTTTTACGGTATTTACGAAGCGTGGGGAAAGTTACATTAAAATAAAATATAGTGAAGTCAGCCTGATATTGCTGCGGAACTGGACGGGAAAAGAACACGTGGCTGTGGTTGGGATCTGGTTTGTTGGGATCTGGTCTAAAAGTTGAAGTTTGGTTGGGTCATGCTTACGTAAGCATGCATCACATCTTGTTTTACAGGGGGAAAGATTATTGAGTTTCAATATAAAAATACAAAGAAATCAATTTTTTGTAAATTGCTTGGCATATATTGTTAAATTAGGTATAACTATAACTATTCTAATATAACTGAAGGTAAATAACATGATTTTATATCTTATATATATAAAATAAGACGTTGTTACACAGAATGCCACGCTGAGAGAGCCGCCCAGTTGCAATTAGATATAAGACAGCCTGTCAAGCCTGATGCAGAATATTTACAGGACACAGGAGACAGAGAGGGTTAAAGACAGCAGCTGATCCACATCCACATGGCTCCACTGGCTCCAATCCTCTTCCTCTTACTTCTGACTCATACGTCTTCAGGTAAAGATTTTCATTGTGGATAGATTCAGGTGTTCATTACAGGAAATATTTATTTAGATTATTTTTAATTTCAGGTTTCTGAATAATGAGACTGGATTTTGGAAGGTGTGTGAATAACAGTTCCAATTTAGGCTGTGCTTTATATGTATATGGAGATGACAATATTTAAATCTACTTGATTATAGAATATTGGGTTTATTATTACTTACTTACTAGAGTGAACATACTCTGATATTGTTTTGAAAAGGCCTGTTGGGTACGGAGAGAGGAGGGTGAGGGTGTGACGTGTTTCTTATCAAATTACTACAAACAAGGGAAAACATTTACTTATATCAGTAAGAGTATCAAAGTAAGCTAAGTAAGTCAGCTGCTTTTAAACTGAAACTTCGAACAGGATGGAGTTTCCCTCTCTCACCTGTTTCCACTTTTATGACTTTTATCCTGTTTTTGTCACGTTCCGTCTGTGATGATATTCATCGGCCATGATCAATAATAAATAAGAACAAGATAATTCATATAAAATGTATAGATAAATATAATGTGTTGAAGATGTAAGGAGGAGAGAGAACAGATAGTTGTGTAACAATGTACTGGGTAAAAGTAAAATGTTGTTTAAAAGTAAAGCAACTCCTCAAGTACAGTAACATAAATGGACCTGATCTGGCCCAGTGTACATACATACTGTATTCTTTCATCAGTCTGAGAAGCTGAAACATGGTAGCTGCAGATGTTAAAGGTCTATATCTTTCTCAGACACACACATTAAAGAAACACTGCAAGGAAAAGAAATAAAACTCATTGTAAACCTAAAATGACAGAAACCATCAGGATGTGTGCTTGGATTTTTTGTTGTCCCATCTGCTAACATGGAGGCTTTTTATGAGCTATACTACAGTCAGCCACCAGAGGGCGACAGAGAGGGTTTGGCTTCAGTGTTGGAGACCTGTCATGTCGTCCATCTTTATCTGTGTGGATGGTTTCCAGCTGTATGTCCCTCAGTACAAACACTGAATGCTTCAGGTCTACCTTGCTGCTTACCGGTCAGGAACTGTCTCGGTCTGTCTGTGGAACTCGAAACCAAAACAAGGGTGCCAGATACATAAAGACAGACAGTGTATCACCCAGTTTTATCCAATAAAGAACATGTGCCCATGTAGCTAGCTCCAGTAGAATCAGTCTGGTGGTTTGATTTCATTTAAATACACTATAGATCAACATTAGCCACATACTACCTACAGTAAGAGCCTGCAGTCGTTACACTTTATTTAATTAGCTGAACTTTAATCAGTAGCCTAATATTCAGTTTATGTGCTCGTCATGCAGATGCTGCTCCAGTGAACCTGGTCCTCCCTAGACCTCTACAACCCTCTCTTATATTCTCTGAAGGAGAAGAAGGTGAGCAGGGTTTTGTTAATATACCAAGATTAAACATGGAGCTGATGGTGGAAAATATCTTTGAGATAAAAGTTAAACCCTCATCTGCAGTAAAATAACTGGATTACTGACTTTTGATTCCTGTTTTCTCTGGATTGTTTCTGTTTGTTTTTAGGCCCACAGGAGGTGACAGTGAGGCCTGGACATGATGTCCCTCTTCAGTGTCAGGGTCCCAGCGACAGCCCCATCACAGTGGTGAAGTGGAGCAGATCTGACCTGGACTCAAATCCATATATCTTCTACTTCAGAGAAAACCGCTCAGATGAAGACTACCAGTGTCCGTCTTATCGTGGTCGAGTGGAGCTGAGAGATCCAGAGATGAAGAACGGAGACGCCTCTGTGATTCTGAAGAACGTCACCGTCAGCGACACTGGAACATATGAGTGTGTTGTTTCAGTCAGAAGGAATGGAAACAGAAAGAGAAACATTGATCCCTTCAGCGTCATCAAGCTGAACGTCAGACCTGTTTCTGCTCTCAGGTCAAACAGCTGGGCACATCTGGGAGGGCGGAGACGAGGACGGAGGACACGAAGGTGGAGGAAACCTGGATTTACAAAATTGTAATCCTGAGCCTGAACCTGACAATCCAACAGTTACTTAGTGCCTCTCTGCTCACCATTATCTGTGACGTGCGCTGGCTGTCATCAATAGTTACAGAAGATTGTCGTACTCGAGACAAAGAAGATGGAAAGCAGAACTTTCTCCAGACTCACTGGAACCAAACCAGTGGAGTAAAGTGGTGAGACTTTCTACCTGCTGGGATCCTCTGGTCCCACAGAGGACAACGCAGATTTAGAAAGACTTTTATTTAAAGATCTTTAGTGGGCATGACTACTGTATTGCTTTCTTTACAGGTCTCAGATCGGACCACCATCATTGATCTTAGACCTTTACACTGCCCGACTCATGCCTTTCATGTTTTCTGTAAAACACTGTGAACAAATAAACTTTTTATTTTCCAGAACTGTTTCCTTGCTGAACTTTTGGGGAGGGACAGAAACACAAAGGGGGAGTTTTACACTTTCTCATTTTGATTGATATTAACTACAACAATGGGTTAATTCTACCAAATAACTTGGTTTAATATTCAATCCAAATGCTGGTTCACATTAACTGGAATACTGGGTTAGTTGTTCCTCATATAGACAGTACTGCAATGGACTACAGTCAGCGGTTCAATTATTTGGACAAAGTACATCAACATTAATAGTTGTAGTAATGCAAATCATACATATATATGCAATAAACAACACTTTTAAACAATGTTAGAATTTAAGAGAAAGATTTATTTCTAAAACTTCATAACCACTGTGAATTCATAAACACTGTAATAAATGAATAAATGAATGAATGAACAGCAACATTACTATATTACCACTACATGGTAAAATGTCCGTAGCTGTCAAGTGCGCTATAAAAACATTATTACAGCTAATTAACTAATGCCACTGATTGAGCAGAGTAAGCCAAAAAGCAGTCTGAGGCAGCTGGCTATTTTAGGAAGAGCTTGCTGTGTGGGCAGTATCAAGTGATTCTAACTAGAACGGACACAATCCCTCAGCCATATGAGCAGTAAAGGATAGATGCCAACCACTGCAAGGACTACTATCTGTGTCCTTCTGTTCCTGTAGAGCGGGACCACTGGTCTCTGATCTGTTCTCATTACATCATTTAAACTTTCCCCGTCAAGTAGGTTATTCAATAAAATATAATGTAAGACACACAGAAAACTAATTGTTCGTGAAGTGGCCATTATTAAATGCCAATAAGAAGAAACAAGTAGAACTAGTCCGACCCAATGTGCTGCAGAAGAAAAAGGATCAAGTCCTCCCGTCTTTAATTCAAAGTGAGTATTGCTACATGGAGAAATTTCTCAGCTGTGGACTCACCACCATCTCCTATTTCTTAGACCACTTTCTGGATAAATTCCCCCACTGCTTGGGGCAGGTAATGTCCTAAAATGTAAAATGCCTTGAAACATGTATCAATACCCGACTGCGATCCAGCACTCACTGCAGCTGCAAGGAGGAAGATGAGGACGGCACCTGGACAGACACAGTACGCAGGGACACAGGAGAGGACAGCTCAGCCAATCGCTGACTGATGATAGACGCCCACTGTAAAGCAGCATATGAATGCAGTCAGACAGCCAGCAGGTGGCAGCACAGGAGTGTCTCTGTCTGCAGGTAAACAACTCTGCTGGAGTTCACAGAGTGAGCAGGGTTTACCTTTGTTCTGTCCTTCGACACACACAAACAACAACCACAGCCCCCATGACAATGTCAGGACGGGCCTATGGCGATATTTCTCTGGTAACAGAACTTTTGCTCTGCTCCACTCATAGACTGAGGGGAAATAACACCAAGTTGAAGCTGTTTTTAAAGCTGTGAAGATTCAGGGTCTTTGAGAAAACATGTCGCACTAGAACTCCAGAGGCCAGCTCCCCACTCAGCTCCGGCTGTACAGCTGTTAATGAAAAATGAGTTCAGTCCAAATGGTCCCAGTGAGACTGTGGAGGAGACAACTGGGTGCTTTTAATTTAAAGGAGAGTGAACAGCAACAGCAGTGTTTGTGTAAAGTGTTAACCAGAATAGTGTGAGGCTGTAGAGAGTGCTGGAATAAAGACTGAATATTGACACTGACTAATACGAGAGAATAAAGACTCTAACTGCTCTGTGTGTTTGGGCTGCTCAGTAAAGATGGCGACTGGAGGACTCGAGGCTGCTGCTCCTCTGCTCTTCAACCAGATATAGGGAGAATGTACACAAATAGGCCTAGTATAAACTTACCAAGCACTGCACAACACTGATGCTGCAGACTGAATATATTACTGACTGGTCCAACAGCAAGAAGAGCAGCTCGCCGTCTGTCTGCAGACCTTTATTTCCCCAAGCTCTCTTTATCCAACCACTAAAAGCCAGTCCACACTCACTCTCTCTCTCCTTAGCTTCCTCTGTCGTTACCCTGCCCGCTCTGCCTGCACACGCTGTACATTAATGACAATGTATTAAAACACACTCTCACAGTTCTGTTTGTTATATTAATGGACAATAATCATTATTCTGATTCCATTATTGGACATTTGTCACACTAAAACATTTTATTTTGGAGTGCAGATGTTTGTGCTCCTGAGGGAAGTGTGATTATATTCCCATCTGCTCTAAGTGTGGTTGATGAGTCTCTTCTATATCAGATATACAGAGAGATAAGTCAGTAGACAAGCGACAGTAGATAAGCTCTCTGAGGAGAAGGCCTGCACTGCTGTCTGTTACCTGTGTGCTGTTGCCTGGAAGCTCTGCTGTAAATAGTGTAGCTGGATCTAACCTTACATTCTTCCCTGGAAGGTGCCTCAGAGTCAGATGGGTGGGCTCCTGGGCCTCAACCTGACACCCCCCCTGCTGCCTTCCTCTGTGGGACCAAATGCTGTGTGAAATCATACCCATCAGCTGTCTTCACCTTTTCCTCATTGATGGAAGTAGAAAGATGGGAAGGAAACAATAAAATCACCCAAATCCTCAACTTTGTATTACTGTTATTTATTTGTTGGAACAAAGTTAGTATTAGTACGCAGTGAACCGTACGGAACCATACAGCAACAGTTACACATAGCCTCACACTCACAGAGAGAACAAAAATAATGCTGAGTCACCATACATGTGTTGAGGTGTAAAGAGGTCTGTGGCAGCTCAGAGGAGCTGATCACCCACTGTAGTCTCCATCCATGTTGGTTGTGTCTTTGTAGTCTCCATCCATGTTGGCTGTGTCTTTGTAGTCTCCATCCATGTTGGTTGTGTCTTTGTAGTCTCCATCCATGTTGGCTGTGTCTTTGTAGTCTCCATCCATGTTGGTTGTGTCTTTGTAGTCTCCATCCATGTTGGTTGTGTCTTTGTAGTCTCCATCCATGTTGGTTGTGTCTTTGTAGTCTCCATCCATGTTGGCTGTGTCTTTGTAGTTTCCATCCATGTTGGCTGTGTCTTTGTAGTTTCCATCCATGTTGGCTGTGTCTTTGTAGTTTCCATCCATGTTGGCTGTGTCTTTGTAGTTTCCATCCATGTTGGTTGTGTCTTTGTAGTCTCCATCCATGTTGGTTGTGTCTTTGTAGTTTCCATCCATGTTGGTTGTGTCTTTGTAGTCTCCATCCATGTTGGTTGCGTCTTTGTAGTCTCCATCCATGTTGGTTGCGTCTTTGTAGTCTCCATCCATGGTGTTTTTGCTGTTGGAACCTGAAGATGAAAATGTACATTAGTCAGAAATGACTGAACAGAATCCATTTCTTCTTCTATATCCCTCATGTTTGACTCTGAGAATCACCCTGAACTCCACTAACTCACCTGAGTCTGTGACCTCCAGTTGGATGGTTCTGATTGGGTCAGTGTCAATGATGGCTCTCTTACGACGGCTTGAACCACCTGTAACAACTCGACACTCGTATGTTCCTCTGTCACTGATGATCACGTTCTTTAGAAGTAAAGACACGTTTCCATCCTTCAGCTCTCTGTCTGTCAGATCCACCCGACCCTTAAAGGATGGATGTTGGTGAGTTGGATCTGAGTGTCCGTCTCTGTAAAAGAGGACGTAGTCTGGAGACTCCAGGTCAGTTCTGGTCCACTCTACAGCTCTGATGGAGTCATCACCAGCTGAACATGGCAGAGTGACATCATCTCCAGGATCCACTGGTATCACAAGTAGCTCTAAAAACCAACAATAAACATCCAGAGAGAAAAAGTTAATACAGACTCCACAGACAGGACACACAGTTTAAACAGAAGGCCTCTTCACACACACACACACACACACACACACACACACACACACACACACACACACACACACACACACACACACACACACACACACACACACACACATCATGTATGCTAATGTAACATTTCAAAAGCAATATCATCAACTGAATGTCAAAGCTTGTACTCCTGTATTATCATCACTCCATTATCTGTTAACTCACAACATCCACATTGATTAGTTGGTCTATGATCACTTCAAACAGGCTTGTGCATAAAGAAATGCATATAGACTGTGGTTACTCAGGGTAACAGGAAGATATTACTAACATTATTAGACATACAAAAATAACTGCAACCTATTTTTAGCTATATTGTATAATTAAGATTTTCTATCTTTTCTATTTTCTATCTATAATCACAATTATCCAAACACCACACTCAATTTGCATAATTCCTAGATTGTTTGCAAAATGACACACTTCAGTCAAAACATATACACATATTTGTGAAAATGCTATTAGTTTTCATTTAACCAACACAGTCCTCAATGATCAGACACTATTGCAGCCAGTTTCACACTGCTGTGATAAATAAAAAACACATTTGTAAAAAAACTAATTTTAGGAAATAGCATGTGCTAGATTTTTGGCCAGACATTGTTATGTAAGGGATAATTTAGATGTAAAAAGTGACAAACCCACAACATTCTTCATGATTAGTTTGAGCTATAGGGAGAATGTACACAGATAGGCCTACTATAAACTTACCAAGCACTGCACAACACTGATGCTGCAGACTGAATATTTCAAGTATTTATTTCAATACTTACAGTATGTCTTACCATAATCAGTTACAGTAATCAACCAACAATGAAATCAATGAAACAAATAAAATCTGTAGACAAATAAAAATTACTGCATGAAGTATATACACATCTTTCTGCCTCCATCTACAATCTATTGACAATAGAAATCTTTACCAGCAGCAGCTTGAGACAGGAGGAACAACAGGAGCACAAATGGAGCCATCGGAGCCGAGTGAATGTCAACCTGCTGTCTGCTACACTCGCTGTCAATGTAACTACTCTGACTGGAACTACCCTGACTGTAACTACTCTGACTGTAACTACTCTGACTGTAACTACTCTGACTGGAACTACTCTGACTGGAACTACCCTGACTGTAACTACTCTGACTGTAACTACTCTGACTGTAACTACTCTGACTGGAACTACTCTGACTGTAACTACCCTGACTGTAACTACCCTGACTGTAACTACCCTGACTGTAACTACCCTGACTGTAACTACTCTGACTGTAACTACTCTGACTGTAACTACTCTGACTGTAACTACCCTGCACAGTCTTATATACTGCTGTAGGCAGATCTCAGCCTGATTGACAAGAAGACTGGGTTTTCTAAATGTGCTGTTCAAGCTATTTCAAAGAAACACAAAGAAACATGCAACGTTGACGATCGTAGATGCTGTAATGCAGCAGATGAAAAACACATCAAGTTAATTTCCCTAAACCATAAAGCTGAGCAACAATAATCTCAACATGGTGCATTCACCTCCACACTGTGCAATCATATGAACCAGTGCACAGTGAACATGGCCCTCTGCTGGACTCAGACTGACACTGTTTCTGACTGATAAAACTGATTCAGATTCAGTGTAGCACTGATAAGTTAGTCCAATCCTTATTATATTTCAGTATTTATTCAAAATAAATAAAGTAAAAAACTTACTTAACATAAATGTATGACTTACAACTAATGTTCCAGATTCAATTATTGTGATTGTGTTCAGTTTCAGTCGTATAAAATAAAAACATGAAACATTGGAAGGTTGTTAACAAGCTTGTGACAGAGTGTGACAGTACGAGCTGGCCACAATATGGACCCAGCAGACACCAGATCTGTCTTGGAGGCACTAAATGAGCTGTGTTCTATTACTGAGAGATTGGGCTTTACACTATCAGCTACCTCGGCAGCCCTATATTCCATTTCTGACCATAGATCCTCCTACACATTGGACCTTTAAATATCATCTGCTGTTTGCATTATTATCTAATATCAATGTGTGGTTGTTTTCTGTTCAGTAGAAACTAAAGTGTTGTTTCTCTTTAGTTCTGACCTCACTGCTGAGCCGCCCAACAAACCAAGGTTAGTGAACTTCTTCTGTGACAGCTGGAAGGTTTAGCCACTGAAGGCCCCATGGACATGAAGCTCAGGCTGTAGTAGACACTGAAGGATATTCCCTCCATGGCTGAGAACTTAGCAGTGATTGCAAACCTCAGGGAAAACTTGATTGACCTCTGATGCTGGGATTAGCATCAGATCCCTGCATCAGAGGCCTGTCTGCTGCCCGGTGGTCCTGAACTCCAGCTGCTGGTACTCACAACTACATTACTGGTCTACAGGTCATCCTCCAGAGCAGCTCGACCTCCGGGTTGTCCTTCTGTTGTTGCCCCGGCGTTAGGGGGTTTCTAGGTGTATCTGTGAAATAATGACAAGGGTGATGATAAGGTCAGACAATATAATTTCATTGCATGTGTGGACAGAATTACTGATACAGTAATACAGTATATACGTATATATGTATATATGTACAGTATACTGCAGGCTGAATGTGAATGATCATCTACACTGTGAACATTGCACCATATCCCTCTGCTTTATCTGTGAATGTTTGAAATGTGTTATGTTAATTAAGTTGCCTTGTCTTAAATTAAATTCATGCAATATTTACTCACTGTTCCTGACAATGGGAGTGGATTTAGGGCAGGCAGAGGGACAGTGAACAGGAGGAGTTGAAGTGATCAGCAGGCAGTAGCATGAAGGTCGGGAGAGTTTGATATTGTTTCAGTCACTCTGAATGAAGTCACAATATTAAGATGATTTGCAGTTGCCCTCATTGTTTGGGTCTGAGATGTTAGTGCCCCATCTAGTGGCAGTGAACTGTTAATATATAACCTTTAACAGTGATGGTAATAGAATAACAGAATCCTGATGTTATCATAAAGTGAGACGGTCAGCTCCTGCTGGTGCTCACTCTGTCAGTCAGTGTTTGTATCCGAGGATAGTTCCTTAATGCTTCTACATTCAGGATATAGTACTGTGATCCTTCAGCTCTATCAATTATCACTCTCACCTTCCTCTCTCTCTCTCTCTCTTTTAAAGAGACTCCTCCCCAAATGAGGACCTCTGATCACCAGGAAGTCAAGAGTGAGTGAGTACACTGCTCTCACTGCCACAGACTCTGTTCATTTCTTCAAACCACAGCTACATGCTACATGCTACATGCTACATGCTAAATGCATGAACAGAGGAGCTTCTGTAACAGTTTCAGACCTGCAGACTAACAACCTGCTGGTAAACAATGGAATAACTGCAGTCAGTGTGTGAACTATACCGCGGCTTTCGGGTGGGCTCACTTATATTGGGGGGGGCGTGCCTCAGAGCGAGGACTTACTCAAAACACATCCATTATTACGAGCCTGTAGGCAGGGGCGTAGGAATGAGTTAAACATTGGGGGAGACACATATTGGAAACCTGACAGATCCGTTAATGGTTTGAACAGAAATATGTCATAAATTAACTACACTGCAAAACATTCACCAACATACTTTATTCTACTATAAAGATACATTTGTAAAGATAAAGGAAAACACATTTTGAATGGCAGTAATGAACTGATAAATATCAAATCAATTCTGTAATTGCAGGCCTAATCATCCAGTTTTGTAGATTAATAAATAACATATTGATCAAAATTTGAATTCAAATTTTCTGAATAAAATTTATTTTCTTAGTTGTAAGTTATGCCTCAATGAACAGACAGATACATGCAAAGGTTAAGGTGAAAGGCAAAAACAGCATCAAGAATTTTAATATATAAACCAACTTGTTTTTACTCTCGAGTGTGATTCCCTTCCACATTCCCACTAACTAACTGGTGTGTGAAGGTAAAGGTAAACGAAAAAGACATTAGAATGGATGTAATGAACTGATAAATATCAATTCCTGTGTAGTTTTCTGTCACAAATAAAAGTTGGATAGCACTGTACAGTCCTGTATTCAATCATTTGCGTGCCGTGTGATTTTTTCAGTGTCAAACGTGCCGTGGCACACAAAAGGTTGAAAAACACTGGCCTAGGCAAAAGAGCCAAAATGTTTTTTCCTCCTGTCATTTGCAGCCACAAATTGCTTGCAAATTGACTTCTTGTCCAGTAAGTCAAGTTTATCCTGATGGACATGACAGACAGCAACATGGTTAAGTCTGTTTTGAGTCATTGTGGACCGGAGCCAAGTTTTGAGCCTGTGGAGGACACTAAAACTCCTCTCTGCCTCAGAGGATGAAACAGGGACTACCAAAAGCAACCTCACCCGGTTTTCCACTTGCCCAAATAGTCTACATACCTCTACAGGCAATCCACGAATGATCCCTGCAGCCTCTTCAAACAGAGTTTTGAAACTTGCCTCATCTCTTTCGGCCTTGAGTGAGGTCCTAACAACTTGGACAGCAGCCCTCATGCCAGCAATGGTTCTCTTCTGAAAAGAGATGTTCAGGCATTCAAGCTCACAAATCACTGCTGAGGCAAGGATGAGACTAGTGATGTCACGATACCAAAATTATTGTTTCGATACCAAGTCAAGAATTGTGATTTCTTTTCTGTAGCAGAAGAAAATGGAAATATTTAAAATATGATGGTGATAAATTTGTCATAAGAGAGGATCTAAATAGTTTATGTGTGATAGTAACAATAACTTGTGACTAACTTAGCTTCTCTATATGCAGCTAACACTTTACCATAACATTATCATAATCAATAATAGGAAATAATGAGTTAACCTAATGTTATTTAAGCTGTGATATATGGATTAATATAGGCTAATGTTTCCTGTACTTCAACATCTGATTTCTTTGATGGTTAACTTTATATTTGAGTCCATCATTTCTTACAAGGCGTTTCACAAATACACCTCCTCCTCTGCGGTCTGTGCTCTTTAAATGCTGTAATAACCCAATATAAATAAATCCCTGACAAACATGCACATGCTCTGATTATAATCATATAGCCTATAGATCATTTTAGCTGATGTTTGTATGCTTTATTTTAGCAGCTTGCAAATGATTAACGTTATCTGTGAAAGTTGCGTTTTCAGAGATGTTGAATTAGTCATAGGCAGTCTGTTGGTCAGTCATGAGCATAATGCCCATAGTCAGTCTACTATTTCTCTAGATAGCCTCGTCAAACTACGGTGGTGCAAAATAAACCATAGCCTACTCATTTGACTTATTTAAGGGCATGAACGTGGTCGTGTTATCTTTCACATACTAACTGTCGGTCTTTAAACTCCTTGTACAACTCGCCGTGTTTGTCGGCCGAGTGTTTCTCCAGGTTGGAGGTGCTGGCTCTCTTTGTTTACATTCGTTTGTAACGTTAGCACTGACGACAAACAGGTCTGGACTTATCGGTAGCTTTGCCCTCACTGTCAGCAAGGTAGGCAAAGTACTTCCATATTTCTCTCCTCGCGTCATCTTTTTCTACCAGTCGTGGACCGGCGGCCACAGTATCATTGTGCTCGCACATGCAGCCATCTCGTTACAGTGTTTGTCACATGACAGCTGCAGCATGAGGAGAAAACACACAGACGTCCATGGGGAGGCACTGGAAGCATGCTGCACACACCAACATGAAATACGTCTCTTACTAATCTGGAACGCGGTCATTCTTAAAAGTATCGATACTATTAAATTTAGGAATCGTGGCGTTTTTAATTTCCGAGAATCGCGATACTTTTGAAGTATCGGTGCACCGTGCAACACTAGATGAGACCCAAAACTGTTTTGCCTTTCCTAAACTGTCCTAGCAGGCCATTAGCAGTAGAGGCAGTATTTGAGGCACCACAAGCCATCTCCTGCAAGCTGGACAGCACTGACCCATACTGTGACAAAACAGCTGTGATGGCTTTTCTCAGTATTGTCCATCTCGTGGGACACAGGGGTTTTATTGCAGTGCATGATGGATTCTCTGCTATTGCTGCATGAATCGCCTTAAACTTCCCTGAATGAGACAAAAGGACTCCAAGCTGGTTGACCCAATCCAATGAGTCTCTGATCAGAACAGAGGCTGAGCAAGCTTTCTGTGTGATTAAATTAGTACAGTGAGCCCCACAATGAACGTAAAGTGCTAGTGGCTTGTTTTATCAGTGCCTGTGCACCAGCATGCTTCCCAGCCATATTAGCTGCCCCGTCATAAGTTTGACCTCGTAAACCATGCCTTGGTAATAGGGTTGCTTGATTATGGAAAAAATCATAATCACGATTATTTGGGTCAAAATTGAAATCACGATTATTCAAACGATTATTTTTTTAAACTTCAGAAACATGCTGCATTTATTGGACATTTGTCAAAAACACTTTGCAAGAAGTCCTCAGTTACACTTTCCTTTCCCCATAAACATTTGTAAGTGTCCTCGTTATCTGTTCAAACGAAAACAACGTGACAGGAGAAGACTGCAACTTGTGTCGCACCCACCAGCGCAAGTATAAATAGTTACGGCGCTCCCGTGACTTCACATTGTCGCGCAACAGGTCGGGAACGGCGAGTATACCGAGCGTATGATGTGCAGTTCATGCTGCAGGGGAAGGACGGAAAATACGCATGCGCGAAACAGCTTTTTTCTATACAACGTTGCACAACAGAAAATGAGAAAAAAAAAATCGTTTCCCTCCGATTTTATTAGTTTTGAGATCGTTTGGCCCCAAAATCGTAATCATGATCAAATTTCGATTAATTGAGCAGCCTTACTTGGTAAGTTTAATCTCAGCAGCACATCTTTAACTACTCCAGCAAGGCTTTTTCCTGTTGTATCAGAAACAGAATACAAACCAATGAACTCTTCATGGGGCTTCAGGTCATTGTCAACATAACGCAGGCAAATACTTTCTTGTTCTTGCCCAGAAATGTCTTGTGTTCCATCCATAATAACTGCATACTGAAGAACTGGTAGATCTCTGATTGTATCAGCTATTCCACTAACAATAATGTTGCTCATTGTAGACAGAATTTCATTCTGGATCTGTGGACTGATGTAATCTTTCTGGGACCTCTGCAACCATTTGGCTAAAAGGACATCATCCTCTGCCTTGTCTTTCAAGAGTTGATAAAAATTACTGTTTTCATCCTCATGTCCTCTCAAGGCCTGTCCCTGTCGTGCCAAATATTTGATTGAACTCACCAGTTTGCCCAGACAGTGTCTGTTGTCTGCTTGTTGATTTGCCTTAGCACTGGACAACTGCATTTACAGGGTGATTTTCTTGTGCAGTCACAGAGACAGCATGACGGAGGGTATGACTACTTTCATATGCTTTAAATTTTTCAATAGCTTTTTTCCAATTTTTTAATCCAGAAGTGATAAAGACGGGCTCTGATTTTACAGCAAATGGTGTGAGTTTGTCCTGGGAAATTCTCATGCAATAAAAACACAAAACCTCCTTCTGCACTGCATCATAATGTAGCCAGGGAAAGTCCTTGTACCACGGCTCTTGGAAGGAGAGAGTTCTGTTAGACAGGACTTGAGTGTCAATACATTTTGGGTGTGGCTGATATGACTCTGTCCTCTGTCCCCTGACTTCAGTGTCTCTCAGCTGTCTGTCCCTGCTCTGAACACCCTAAAAGGAAAACAGTCACAATGTCACACAATGCGACGAGACTGCAGTTACTACGAGCACCCTAACCCTTTAAGGTTAGGTGAATAAGGTACAGAAAAATACTGATGGGAAAGCTAGTGCAATATTAAAATCATGTTTGTTATATTATTGTGTAAGTTAAACCGTGTTCACTTCTTATCATGTTCAAACCTTCCTCTCATGATCAAACTAAAATCACCTCAGCCTTCATATAGCACCTACCTGCAACTCTGCAGTGCTGCTCTCCCTGCATCACCCTCACCACTGTGAGTGTCCAGCTGAACTTCATCTGATCTCTGATATGAAAGCAGTGGAGATGAATAAGGTATAGAAAAACACTGATGGGAATGTCAAGAACAAGCGAATACACAGACAGACTAACTCCTTGCTAGATGTGGGGATGTGTAACGTTACTCGTTTTCAAGTTACATGGGTACAATCCCGCTTCCCCAACAGTCTGAGCCGCTGAGGGGCGGCCGGTGACGCGACACTGTGTGGCGCTTTCAAAATAAAAGCCAGCGAGTTAAAGATTTCAAAATCAAATTTTTTTCTCCTCCGCGGTTTAATTTTTTGGGTGGGACAAATACAACTGTCTCCAATATTGCAGGGGACCCGTCCCCCCGGTCTTTTTTCGTTTCCGATGTCTGATTTAAAGGGACGTTTAAGACATAGCGCCCCCACGCTTCAATGGTGAAGACAAGAATTGCATGCAGGCCGGTATCTTTATTAAAGTGAAATAGTGACGCGTCATCCGCAAATCATACATAAAAAATAGCCTAATTTTACACATGATAATACAAAAAAACAAAAAACAAAACAAAAAGGAAATCCATGGGAAAAAACTTTTAGAGACCCCCCCTAAATTTCACAAATCATGTTTTCGGGGGAGCTCATGTCTCATTAAGGGGGCTGAGACCCCCCCTGGCTCCCCCGTAGTTCACACCCTGGCTGCAGTGATCAGTGGTAACATCCTGGGAGGGCAGGCAGCCCCATCAGCTCTACCGGTCAGCTAGTCCCGTGGTTCCCAACCTTTTTTCCTTGAAGCCCCCCTTTCCTGTGTCCAAGACAAGTCAGGCCCCCCCGACCCCAACCCCAACCCCTACCCACATACACACACTAAATAGGTATTAAATAGCTTAATGAATTTAAATGTGGACCAAAAATATGTTTCAATTTGAATTATACAGAGTTTGGATTATCCAGTTGGGTGTGTTATTGGGATTTTATAAATGTAATCTTTGTAAATAATAACTTTGGTAACCTCACAACCTCAGCAGACAAACCACATACTGGACCTGTGTTACAGAGAGGAACTAATGTCCATCTGACAGGAGCCCCGTCTCCTTATATCTCAGTTAAAATCAGTTCCAGAGACATAAAACATTTCTGCAGGTAGAGGATTTCATTGTGAACCGAGTCCAAACACATGCTGCTTTTCAGAGACCAAAAGGTGTGACTGCGTCTGTCCCTCAGTCTGTGTCCACCCTCTGGCTGTGATAGTGACCGGTCCAGGTGAACCCCAATGTGAGCTGCTGTTACTGACATTCGAGGTTGGATGTTTTATAGGCCATTAGTTACAGAAAGCCTGTTTCCTGCTAACAGCAGAGAGAAAACCACAGCACTGATACATAAAGAGGAAGGAGGTGGGCTTTACTCAGTGTGACTGCTAAACTCTAATGCTGATCTCAGATGGCCAAGATCTAAAATGGAGGAATCCTCTTTACAGTGGCTGCTGGGTGAGTAAATATCTACTTTTTAACACTTGGATATTCAGTTCCTTTCTGACCATAGATCGTCCTCAGTGTTACACATTGGACCTTTAAATATAATCTGCTGTTTGCATTATTATCTTATATCAATGTGTGGTTGTTTTTTTGTGCAGTAATTTAATTTAACTGCTAATTTCTGCTGATGTCATTTATCCACTGTATAACAACACAATGCCATATACAGTCCTATATATTTATCTTTATTTATCCTCTTTACAGTTCTCTACATTTATCTTATGTGATTTTATTTTCCATGAATTTTAATTTACTTTTATTCTTATCTCTACTTTCTATATTTAGCTAAGAGTTTTATTGTTTATATTATACTGTATTTTTGATGCCTCTTTTATTTTCTTTCTTTCTTTTTCTGTAAGTGTTTTTGTAAGCTGCTGGAAATCCTATTTCCTTGCAGGAGTCATCCCAAAGGGATCAATAAAGAGAAGTCTAAGTCTGTTCAGTAAAAAGTGTTGTTTCTCTTTAGTTCTGACCTCACTGCTGAGCCGCCCAACAAACCAAGGTTAGTGAACTTCTTCTGTGACAGCTGGAGGATATTTGAAAGTCAGTAAGAAGCTAGTTGCCACAATATCAGCAGGATTAACTGTTACAGAAGATCAATAAACTGATCACATTTATAAATCAGACACATGTGGCCGATCCTCTGCTGGGTTTAATGCCAACATGAAGAATTCATCAGATCATATCTGAGTTTGAGTCAAAAATCTTCTCTGAAACTCAGACATCAGTTCAGCAGTGAGAGATTCTCTCTCTCTCTAACTGCATCTCTCTGTCTCTCCCTCCAGCCTCTCTGACTGTGAGTCCCAGCAGCTCTCAGATGTTTAAAGGACAGTTTGTCTCTCTGAGCTGTGAGGAGGACGACAGCTCTGCTGGATGGACACTGAGGAGGAACACAACCAGAGACACCAGGACTCAGTGTGGAGTAACGTGGGGAAGATCAGCTGGTTCTTCTTGTAACATCAGCTTCATCATTACAGAGGACAGTGGAGTTTACTGGTGTGAGTCCAGAGAGGGAGCAACCAGTAACACCATCAACATCAGTGTCACTGGTAAGATCAGACTGCTGTAACTCCCTGCAGTAATAGTAATGGATTACCAGGTCAATAACTAACACAGGGGTTCTACAAGGTGTGAACAGTGAGTCATTCACCTTTTCACTTTGACTGAAATCAAAGTTAAATGTTACCTGAAGAAGAATGAAGGCAAGAAGACAGACAGGTGTACTTCAGGAAGCTCATCCACACTGGGTGGATCCCAGCCTTTCTCCTGAAGATAGTCCTGTTCTATCATTGAGTAAACTGACTCAGAGACATATTTTATGGATAATTCATATTATATTCAATAATATCAATAACAGCAGAGAACAGCTGATAAACTGATCAATGAACACAAACAGTGAACTCTAACTGCAGGACGTTTGTAGAAAACCAGAGATTTGGATGAAGATTGATCAGAGTTTACCCAATTATTCATAAGAATGTTTTCATGTGTTTTTATTTCTTGTATTTACTGAGTCAAGGACAGGACAGTGTGTCTGTGTCTGCGGCTCAGAAAAGGAGGAAAACTAAAACTGAACTGATCTTATTGAGTTTGATGGCAGGAGAGCAGTACACTGCACTGCAGCTCCCTCCTTCATCCCAACCTCCTCCTCAGGGGCTACAGGTTGGGTTTAACTTATAATGTTCAGGAGATGTAGTGTATGGTTATTAGTTGTGTAAAGTTATAACAGGATCCCCCTCAGACGACAGCAGTGAGTCAGTTAAAGGCAGAGTGGGTCGGGGAGGGGAAGCTCACTGAGGTGGGTGAACGGCTAGAAAGAGAAATAGTTTGGGACAAAAACAAACATAAACAAACAAACAATAATCATAGTCTGTTTGTAAAATACATTGGACCAGAGAAAGTCATAAATGATGTATTCATAATCATCTAATGATATTTCCACTAGTTTGTCAAATGTACTTTATATCTATTGGTACACTTCTTTGAGAGAGACTTTTGTTTATTCAGCATCTCATGTAAATGTTTTTGTCTTTATTCTGTCTCTGTGTTGAGGTGGACCAGTGATCCTGCAGAGTCCTGTCCTCCCTGTGATGGAGGGAGATGATGTCTCTCTGCACTGTAAAACAAAGACCCCTCCCTCCAACCTCACAGCTGCTTTCTATAAAGATGGCTCCCTCATCATGACTGAGCCTACAGGTCACATGACCATCCACCATGTTTCCAGGTCTGATGAAGGCCTCTACAAGTGTCACATTGGCAGTCATGGAGAGTCTCCACCCAGCTGGATCACTGTCACAGGTGAGGAGGTTACAGATAACTCTACTGCAGCACTAACAAGGACAGCAGTGATTGTTCACAATGTGACAACCTTTCTAACGTTACAGCCAGCAGAGAAAGTCAGTGTTCAACAGCTACATAACCGTTTGATATGTAATCTACATAAACCAAGCTGGGTCAAATGTTTCAGTAGAAAAAGAGGATCAGAACTAACAGGAGCAACTTCACTTTCTTTATTTAATCTTATTACTTTCTGAAAAGTCAAACCACTCAATGTGTTTTACATTTATTTTATTTTATGTGCTTTAATTATGATTTCCTGTTCATTTTAGAGAAACCCACCACTGCATCTCCTCCTACACCCCCCTATACTTCTGCTTCCCCCCTCTTCCCCCTCTCTTCCTCCTATTATTCTGTGGTGTGGTTCTACTGGTTGTAGTGGTTCTACTGGTTCTACTGGTGAGACGATGCATCCAGAGGAAACATAAAGGTTAGACTCAGACACAAAAAAGACAACCATGTCCTACAGTTCACATTTAAAATGACATTTTACTGTTGGTATTTCAGAACTGAGTCTACAGATAATCAGTTTAAAGTTTAAATGTTCAACTCTTACTATTAATTATTACATTCACATTCTCAACACAGGTCCATTTATTTTAGTGCTGGAGCTTTTGATTGAATCTGACCTCAGTGTAAAATATTTGTTGGTTTGTTTCAGCTGCTGCAGCAGGTGGAGGCGATGACATCACAGATGGTGTCACATACAATGACAAAATATTGCGTCACCTACAACAGCCAATCAGACGCAGACGAGGTAATGATGTTTTATTGATTTTATTTTTAGGGACAATATGGAAAATGAAGTGAGGACATTTTTAAACAATGATGTTAGAAATCATGTTCATCAACATAAATACAATGTAAAATCAATGCTTTTCACTTCCTAAACACTGTAGTGAGATATATTGTAGTTCTATTTTAGTTGATGATAGTGTGTGTTGTGTGTGTTGTGTTGTGTGTGTGACTGTGTCTGTTTGGACCCTGCGGTGAATCTGTTAACAGAAGCTCTGTGGTCGTCCAGTTTCCTGTTTCTGATGAAAACAACTCAGCTGAACGTTGATCTGCTCATGTTTCACTGCAGGACTGTTCATTTAAATAAAGACATCATGTCAATAAATAACTGCATATTTACACTGTCTGTACATTCTGCTCACATTAACTGTTAATACGTTTCACTCTTTACAGTGAATAACCTGCAATCTGCAAATGTATTCATTGATATCATTTTGTTGATCTTCACAGTCATGTGACACCAACATTAAATATCTTACTATTTACATCCAAATGTTAAGTCACATTTGGATCTTTTGGATTTCACTATTAAATAAATGTATAATAATAGAGTTAATATAATTGTACAGTTTGTGTGACAGGTTGACAGCTCTCCTCCACTTGTGTTTGGTCTCTTTTCAAATTTCACAGCAAAGCTTTTAAATGGAGCTCTATGGCACAGAGGAAGGAGATATATCAGACTGTGATACACACAGTAGCAGTTAGTGGATACAGTCAGTGTTCGTTTGAGTCTGAAAATGAAGACAAATATAAAAAATCTCTAGATTTATACTTTAAGAAGACAGTTAAAGTTTAAGAAGTCCTTGTTCAAAGTAAGATTTAAGGCAGCGTATTTAAGAGGAGACAGACACTTTACTATAAACTGAACTTTAATATAATATATAATAATATATATATATATATATATATATATATATATATATATATATATATATATATAATAGTTGAGTTGTTTTTCACTCTGAATATCAAACAGCAGCAGCTTCCTGTTTCCATTGGACTGAACTCTGACTCTGGTGAGGTTTCTCACTATATTCTGGTCTGCTGTATCTGATGGTGATGTGTTTGTCTGTTTGTGTCTTGTGGTCAATGTGTCAACCACCTTTAATAGAAGAGAGCAGCGCTGTGGTCGTCCAGTTTCCATTTAAATGTGTTCTTTCATGTTTCACAGGAGTGGTGTTCAGAAGAAAACAGCCTGTAAAAACCTGCTGCCCTTTATAGAGTCTGTAACAGATCTTATTATAATGCTATATGCAGATGATTTCATTACTTGTACAGCAGTAGTATTGATACTCTTCATCTTACAGGTGTTGCAGTGCTACCTGTAGTGCTAACACTAGCAGTAACAGTATCAGCTGTACTACCTGCAGTAATATAATGTGTATGTTGTTTTCCAGACACTGATTCAGTTGCAGTTTACTCCGCAGTGAGAGGAGTCTTTAAGGCATCACAACAAACAGGATGAGAGGTACCGCTGCTCTTTATCTATGAATGCTGGACAGAGCTAGGCTAGCTGTTTGCCCCTGCTGCCAGTCTTTATGCTAAGCTAGGCTAACAATGTCCTGACTTCAGCTCCATACTGAACACACAGACATTAGACTGATATCAATGTTCTCATCTCACTCTCATAAAGAAAGAGGATAAGATCATTCCCCACCATGTTGAACTATTCCTTTAAAGAGATATGGGTGATAGTAATGAAAGACACAAGGATCTATAAACCAGGTTCACATTGTAACAGTGGGTCCCAACCTGGGGGTCACCAAAGCTTCACGGGGGGTTGAGGGCTGTAAGAAAACTATACACATATGGTTGATAGGTTGTAATTGGACAGCACTACAGATGTTTCACTAAAGTCTTTATTATGTTAAACATTCATTCAATATTAATGCAACCTGATTGAATCTGGAGTTTGACAGCAGTCAGCAGTTCCTGAGAGCTCGTCAGGGTAGAAGTTGTTGTGTGTTGTTTCTCATTGAGTTTGTTTGTTTGTGTTCAGAGTTTCCAGCAGAGCCAGAGGTCGTCTACTCTTCACTGAGGTAGACCTTCACACCTTCAACCAGTCCAACCACTGATGTCCAGCTGGCCTCTAACTGGTCCCCACAGACTCCCAGTACTTCCATTACTTTCATTGTGTTATCTTTAAAGTATAATTAGACTCATGCAGCTACAAACAGACAAACAGCTCACATTTAATTATTTTTCATTTGTCTTTTTTGGTGCAAAAAAAAAAGTTATACTATTATTATTATATTTATATTATATTTAAGTTTTAAAAGTATTTCAGCAGGATGCACAAGAACAAGATATTACTCACTATGTTAAACTGTCATTCTTCTATTTCTGAACAGAATCTAATAATAACTATCAGCTGTTTTATATTTAATGTAAGCATATTGCTGTTATTGATATTTCTGTTTTTGGATCAATAAACTTTATTCTTGTTGTTCTGCTGTGGTTCTGTAGGTTTCACAAAGCTGTCTGATGGAAACTTTGACTTGTTCTGGTTGGTTGTGGCTAACCGATACAAACCTCTCTTCAGTGCTGATAAAGAACAAACAAAGTAAACCTCAACCGCAGACTATAAACAGCATGAACATCATTCAGCTTCAGTACAGACTGTCTGTTTGAAGAGTTTGGATTCTTTAGTCAGTGAACGGCTGAGAAGATTCACTCTGTAAAAGTTTCTTCTCTCTCAGTTTAGACTTGTGTTGATCATCATGAGTAACTGGAGCTGCTTCCACCTGACAGAAATATTATATATCAGTTCCTGCAGAGCATCATGAAGTATTTATGAGTTTGTTTAAACACAGAATCAACTCAGTAGAGTAGTAACTTTCCTGCAGAGCTTTTCTCCTTCTAATGAGCTCCCTCTCAGCTCCACCTCTCTTCCTCCTTTACTGTGCTCTTCCTCTCCACACTGCTCAGCCCCGCCCACTCAGACAACCACGCCTCCTCCATCACCCCCACTCTCTTCCCCTGCAGCCTCGCCTCCTGCCTCCACCTCCTCCAGCTTGTGTTCATACTGCTCTGCCACCTAGTGGTGTTCTGTCTGTACTGCATCTCCACTGTCCTCATGGTGTCTGTATATGGACAGAGAGCCACAGGTAACCCTCATCAATCAATCAACCAATCAATCACTCTGGTGTTGATGATTGACAGCTGTGTAGGAAATTAAAATGACTTTAAAACACATTGTTATTTAAACTACTGAAATAATGTGCAGAGGAACATCTACTGGTGGTCTGTGTGTCTGTAGTTTTTATACTATACATTAATGTTATCCAGTAAAGCAGCAAAGATGTGATCATTCATAACTTTCCATGTAGGCTGGCAAACAACCTAAGATGGAAATATGTATAAACTGAAATAAATAAGTGATTAGAAACTCAGAACAAATCTGGAATCAGGTTTACAGTGATCTCACATTTTTGTGTCATGGTTTTGGGTTTTAGTTTAATTGATCAGTGTCACATGTGTCTTCCTGATTAGTCTCACTTGTGCCTCCTTATCCCTTCCTCATTAATGTATTCAGGCTTTAGTGGAGTTTCATTCGTAGCTCTACTCCCCCTCATATACTTGCCCTCTGCCTTGGTATTATGTAACAGCATATGTCACACAGAGGCCACTTGGGAAGCAGAGGGACAGTGTGTGGGATTTTAATGGAACTGATACTATCATGGATTAGGGTAACAGTGCTATAGTGCTTCTTACAAATCTTCAGAAAAAAAACTGAAACAGAAAAGCAATCTGATCTGTGATAAGCTCATTTACATTAATGTGTAACCTGAAATGTTGATCAATCATGGTTCC